AAGTGACCACAATAGGCTCCACAAGTAACCCCTCCCATCAGGGGTACCTTCCAAGTGTGGTGGAAGAGCTCCACCGAGTGGCTGATCAAGAAACTACAGACAGCGGGGCTCAGTGGCTCAAGCCTGTAACCCTAGCACTCTGGGAGGCCAAGGCAGGCGGATTGCTCAAAGTCAGGAGTTCGAAACTAGCCTGAGCAAGAGCTGAGACCCCGTCTCTACTATAAATAGAAAGAAATTAATTGGCCAACTAATATATATAGAAAAAATTAGCTGGGCATGGTGGCGCATGCCTGTAGTCCCAGCTACTCAGGGAACTGAGGTGGTAGGATCGCTTAAGCCCAGGAGTTTGAGGTTGCTGTGAGCTAGGCTGATGCCATGGTACTCACTCTAGCCTGGACAACAAAGCAAAACTCAAAGAAAGAAGAAAGAAAGAAAAGAGAGAAAGAGAGAAAGAGAGAGGGAGGAGGGAGGGAAGGGGAGAAGGGGAGGAAGGGAAGGAAGGAAGGGAAGGAAGGGAAGGGAGGGAGGAGGAGAGAAGGAGAAGGAAGGAAGAAGGAAGGAAGGAAGAAAGAAAGAAAGAAGAAAGAAGAAAGAAAGAAAGAAAGAAAGAAAAAGAAAGAAACTACAAAGAGAGAGACCCTGGACAGCATAGGAACATAACAACAGCTGATCCAAATGGGAGGGCTCAGTGAAAGAATTCAAGGAACCTCAAAGTACCAAAACCAAAAAACACTCCCCGAAGAGAACCCCAGCTTCTCAAGAAACTGGAGACTGAACAAACCAAACAGCTGAAAATGACCAGAAGAAATAATTCCAAATTGGATTGTAGAAGCTCAATGACATCAAGAAAAAATGGATAACCAACACCGAAAGAAACTACAAAGAAAACAGGACTTGGAACAAAGATTCCACTAAGAAATCGAGATTTTTTTTTTTTGAGACACGAGTCTCACTTTGTTGCCATGGCTAGAGTGGTGTGGCGTCAGCTAGCTCGACAGCAACCTCAAACTCTGGCTCAGTGCATCAATATTGCCTCAGCTCCCTGAGTAGTCTGGACTACAGGCATGCACACCATGCCCGCTATTTTTTCTAAAGAAAAA